TTTGAGAATGATGTACAAATGCACTTTACACAATTGATGTGTGTATGGATTGTGATAACAGTTGTATGAGCCCCTAATAAAATGTTTAAAAATAAATAAATAAATAAAAATGAACACTCTGAAAAAAAACCACTGTGCCAACAGTACTTCTTGTTCCTAAGTAGGTCATACAAAATTGAAGTAAATCTTTTATTATTATGTCCATCCTTTCCCCATCCCAATATTTGTTAGAACTGATGGGCCAGTATTGATAAATGTTAATGATCTAAATTCCTTAGTTTAATATTGGTTTTAATCTTTGGGTTGTATAGTCTCATGACTTTTGATAGATGCAGAATGGAATGTCACAGGTCTACCATCACAGTATTATTACACCGAATAATTTCACTTCTTCTTGTGCTCTACTTACTCATCCTCTCACCCACAAGCCCCTGGCAATATCAAATAGTCGTACCGTCTTTAAATTTGCCTTGGTCTTCATGTTGACTGTGGGGTAAGTATTGGGCTGCTAGCCGCAAGGTTAGTGTTTCATCAGCAAACCATCAATTACTTTGCTGGAGAAAAGGAAGCCTCAGAAATCCAATCGAAGGGTCCCCATGAGTTGGAATTGGGTGACAGTTGGTTTGCTTTTTGATACCATACTTTACTCTAGAACTAATGGCATTTATCTGTGCTCTTGTTTAAAATTTTTGTCAGAGAATGGATTGAATACATTCTCTCATAATTCAGGAGTAAGTAGGAATATTTGCAAATACTTCCTACTTTGTACATTAGAAAGTATCTTAACTGCTCTCCACAAATTTAGAGAAAAATAAAAAATAAAAGGAGAGCCCACTAAAGATTAATAATGCCCATTTGCATCCATAAAAAGAAACAAACATTTGCATAACTCCTTCCCACAGACATATTTAAAAATATACATCAGTGCTGTGAAAAATACTTCAATATTTCCTAATGAAACCGGAACTGATAAACTCATTGAAGCATTTCCAGGGAAACAGCAATGTGACCTCCCCCACTACTTAGTTTTAGTTGTTGTTTTACTCTTTGCAACTTTGTGCATTGCTTTTATAATAAAACTATCATTAAGTCCTTTAAAAAAACATATTTGCAATGTAATTATTATAATAAGAGGATATATGTTGATTTCTCTCAAAGCTTGACATAGTAAAATATTGAGACAACCAATTAATGGGTAATATTTATCTTGAAATGTTCATTTATACTAAAAAGAAATAGACCCTTAACTCTTAAACCATATGTTTATTTTTCAGAATTTCACACTCCATGAAGTAACCAATGACTCTGACAATCGGACCGTATCTGCAATAATAGATAAACTGGCGACATTCAGCTACTATGCATTTTGGGTAACCGCAAGTACTTCAGTTGGAAATGGGAATAAAAGCAGTGACATAGTTCAAGTGTACACAGATCAAGACAGTATGTAAACAGAGATAATTTATTCATCTTTAATAGAATTATTTTATAACTTTAAAAAAATTTAAAGAAATGTTTCCTAAATATATTTATTGGTAGTAAAATTTATATTTGGGGGAGTTCATTTAATTATACATTTTAAAAGCTTAAAGCATATATTTAATATAGCTATAAAACTATTACTTTAAGAGTCTCTTTTATTTGTGAAAACTGCTGCCATTCATTCATGAAAATCATTTTGCTTTTATTACTTTGAAAGGTGTCACAGTCACTCAGTTAAAGGCAAGAAGAAAAATGCTGGATACAAGATGAATTTCCTGATTGTTTATATGCTATCTATTTGTTTTAGGAACTGCTTTTCCTTCTGCCAGTAACTTTCTTTTTATTTTAGAAGCCACTTAGGACTCAAATATCTATGTCTATTTCTCTCTCTCTCTCTCTCTATCTATATATATCTATCCCCAGAAGATTCTTGTAGGCCTGCTCTCCAGTATCCTGCCTATGCTGAATGCTCACAACATCATAATGGTTGAGACACTTGATTGATTTTTTCTTTTTAGTGTTTCAACTTTGAAAATAGAACACTCCCTGGATCGTTGACTCATTATTCTTGTGCTTGTTTGTATTGTGTGTACTTGTTTCTTAGTTTCAGAATTGGCACTGATCTAAAATTCTGCTGAAAATAAAGTTCCAGGTTTATTATCTGAATGTTGTAAATTAGCCAAGAGCATGAGCATGCAAAGTGAGCAATGTCTTTGTTGTTGGAGTAATATTTTACATTATTATAGCTTTATCAATATGTGAAATCTTTAAAAGAGAATAAAACATGAGGAAATGTATTTGTGGAGTCATTAACAAAATATGTTAAAACAAAACATGCATAAAATTATAATTACTATAATATGAAGACAATATTATTTCAGTTATTCTTTAAATGAAGATCTTGCCAATTAATTTTGTCACATATAATTAGAATCCATTAGAAAAAACACACAAGTATATATCCACTTACATGTTTCAGGTGTGATGACAAATTTGCAGTAATCCAGGAAGTGTGTTATAAATATCATTGATATTTATATCAATTAATTAGAACTTCTATAGGTAGGAAGCCTCTTTACATATAAGGTTCTTTGGCAACAGGGTGAGGAGAGAGAACGTGAAATAGAATCATGAAAGCTAAGGTATTGTCAACTCTACTTCTCACTAGCCACATGACTGCAGACAACCACTTAATGGCCCTGGGCCCGAGTTTCCTCTGATGGATAGTAAGGGTAATCTTTAGGGGAAAGAACCTGAAATTGTTGATTTCTTGTTTAAATATATGAATATCTATAACATATGTACAAGGGGGCTTCAAAAAGTTTACAAAAATATTTCATTATCTTTAAATTCCATTTTCCTCCAACTTTGTGAAGGCCCCTGTGTGTTTATATGTATGTATGTGTACGTGTGTGTACGCACACACACACACACACACACACACACTGTGGGAAACAAAAGCTAAGAGAATAATTATATAAACTAATGTTAATGCTTACACATATTTAACATGACAGGGTTTATTTTAAATAATTAAAAAATAACTATTTAAAAGATTTCACAGGTGATGTTTACCACATTTTCATCTAAATAATGTAAAAGCTAACAATGTAATAATGGATACCATTTCAAAAAGTATCCTCAACATGTGAATGTACTTAAGTTTTATCTAGGCAAACTGATAATAATATTTTATATTTTGCACATTACCCATCATAATACCTGAAGGGTTGGTTGGAAACCTGACCTATGAGTCCATTTCGTCAACTGCAATAAATGTAAGCTGGGTCCCACCATCTCGACCAAATGGTCTAGTCTTCTATGTTTCCCTGAGCTTACAGCAGCAGACTCCTCGCCACGTGAAATCACCTCTAGTTACGTATGAGAGAAGCATATATTTTGATAATCTGGAAAAATACACTGATTACATATTAGAAATCACTCCATCAACAGAAAAGTGATTCTCTGATTCCTATACTGCCCAGCTCTACGTCAAAACTGAAGAAGATGGTAGGCTAGACCCTTTTACTGCCTTTCAGACAGATTGTTTTGCTATCTTAATTTATATTGCTTTCTGATAGACAACAGTATCTGTAAAATTATATAGACTCTACTGTCATCTATTAATTATTAGCCTTTTAATAAATATAATAGGCTATTATATAATTTAAAGTTAAAATGAGTATCTACTAATATCATTAAGTCCACTTATTATTGAAGCCTCTTCTTTTAATGCGAATTCACTTTGTTTCATTTAATATTCTCTTCTTCTTTTATAGTCCCAGAAACTTCACCAATAATCAACACTTTTAAAAACCTTTCCTCTACCTCAGTTCTCTTATCCTGGGATCCCCCAGTAAAGCCAAACGGTGCAATAATAAGCTATGATTTAAATTTACAAGGACCAAATGAGAATTATTCTGTTATTACCTCCGATAACTATGTCATTTTGGAAGAGCTTTCACCATTTACATTATATAGTTTTTCTGCTGCTGCAAGAACTGTGAAGGGACTCGGCCCTCCCAGTCTTCTTTTCTTTTACACAGATGAGTCAGGTAAGCGGCCGTTCCTTCGTCTTCAAGTGACTTCACTGTGGCAGCCTCGCTCTCTCTAAGGAGCAGCATGGAAGCATGGAAAATGACAGGATGCTGACGCTCTTCCTCCAACATGTATCTGCTTGGCTGAACTGCTGTTTGGTTTTTTCCTTTCCCCTCTTTTTTTAATTGGAGCTTCAGAACAAAGTGTTCTGTTTAAAGGTATTTTGGGAACTATAGTCTTCCAGACATATACTTCTTTCGGATATGCTTTTCTGAAATGAAAAAGACCATTATGTAAATCTTCTTTTACTAGTGTCTTCAAGAATTTAAAGTCACCATGCTCAGTACCTGATAAACATTTCATGGCTGTCAATTGATGAATGTGTTTCCCCGCAGTGCCTTTAGCACCTCCTCAAAATCTGACGCTTGTCAACTGCACTTCAGACTCGGTCAGGCTGAAATGGAGCCCCAGTCCTCTCCCAGGCGGTATTGTTAAAGTGTATAGTTTTAAAATTCATCAGAATGGAACTGATGCGATATTTTATAAGGTAGGTTGATTATAACAATATATGTTTGTTTAGAATTTTTCAGTGCTTGATAACTCTTTTGACAGCTAGGGGGAAAACTGCTTTAAATTAAACAAGGGCCGTCTTTCAAACGTTTTTGAAAAAAAACATATAATTTAAGAACTTACTTGAAAGATGTGAACTTAATAAGCAATTTGTAGACTTATTTACTTAAGCTTTAAAATGTTTGGTTACTTATAATTTGAGGAATAATTTCACTACTTTGTTAATCCTGGAAAATAGATAATAATTATTTTCTGGTTTATTAAAAACTTGTTACTAACTTAAATGTAATTGATTTCTATTTTCTCATATGAGAAGTGCCAAGTTAAGTTTTAACTTTTTTATAAAAAATAAAGGTACCAGACTTTGGCGACTTTCCTTCATAGTACAAGATAAACAAACAGAAACCCCAACTCACTGTCATGGATTCAATGTTGACTCATAGGGATTTTCAAGATTGTAATTGTTTACTACAGTCTACTGGAATAGATAGATACTACACTTGATCCTAGCCCAAAGGCCGAAGCGATAGTCTACAGGAACAGAAAGCCCCACTCTTTCTCCCGCCGAGCTGCTGGTGGTTTCCAACCACGGACTGTAAGGATCACAGCCCCACACAGAACCGGGCTACACTAATGCTGTCAGATACTACAAGATACGACGCTAATAATGTAGACCTTATTCTTTTACTACAGCAAGTCATTTGCAATATTAAATACACTTTCCTTCCCCTGTTTGTATGACCCAGAATCAGTGGAACTTACCCACAGAACTGATGTAATTAAAGGGCTCACGGATACTTGTATAATTTCTATATTTAATTGCCAAAATATTTCATAGCTAATTAGAAATTATGTAAGAAAGATGTAGGTTTTCTTTCCTACAAAGACAAATGAAGTAGCAAAATGATCTTATTTGCGGTAAAAAGAATGTACACTATAGACAGTAAACATTTTGTCCAGTATTTGTAGTCAAAATTTATTACTAATGTAAATATTTTTTATAGCACGTGTAGGCTATAGATGAATAGTGAATATTAAAATCAGTGATCAAGGTTATGTTATCCGGAATAAGGACTTTCTTCCTGGAAACCAAGATATTAGTTTAAAATATGATAGGCTGAGTAAGAATTTGAATTACATTATTTCATAAATGTGGACTCTGTTTCCCAGAAGTGTGAAATTAGATTAATGACATTTAGTTTCTAGCACTCTAGTATCTACCCTCTGTCTAATCTTAAAAAGGCCCCATTTTTTATTTAGTTTGTCTGATGAGTCTTTGAGAAATGGATAACCAAAGGGAAAAAATCATTTTCTTAGTGTGTATTCAAAGGTGGTGTGTATATGTGACCTAGTCTTTCTGGAGCTGTGATCTCTAACACAGACATGATAAAACAAGGACTCTGGTGTCAGACTGTCCAGTTCAAATCCTCTCTGTGAGACTTATTGTGCTCTATTAGGGCAGTTGCTTAACGTCTCCATGACCCAGTTTCTTCCAGGGAAAAATGGATGTTAAAAGGTGCATACACTTTTAAATGATAATCATAAGGGAAAATCAACATGCAGCATTTGGAACAATTATGAGCATATGATAAATGCACTCACTATTCTATTATTTATATAGATTAAAAATAACAGTAATCATCCATCCAGTTTTGTCCTAGCACTAAGTATAAAGTGCCAGTATCCCACTACCTGAATATGAAAATAATTTGTGTCCCAAGATTTTTCTGGTCATTCTCTTTTCTTAAGAGAAAGGCTATCATTAATATGTAAGTTGTAAAAATTATCATAATCCTTATTCCATAAGATATTATACTTTGAGGTGGAGAATGGATGAATTAGCATTGCCAATGGTCTGCTGCAACACAAGTTTTACATGTGTGTGATATTCATGAAGTCATTCAGTATCTTGTACATTGTTTAAAATCACTTGCAATGGACACAAATGTGGATCTCGATCAGCTGTTTCAGGCAAAAGAAGAGGTTTTCTACCCCTGTAAAGGGTTACAGTCTTGGAAACCCACAGGAGTAATTTCACCTCGTCCATGAGGCTGTTCTGAGTGAGAATGGAGTTAAAATCAGTTCCTTGAGCAGGCAACTGTCTTCTAAACGTCTTGGCAGAAATGAATGAGGTCTTCTAGCATTGCATCTGTTTGTTGAAACCATTTAAATTGGTATTCCATAAATTCCTGGACCTTTGTGCTTTGTTAATTTCTTCAGTTTAATATAGCTTTCTTCCTTCAATACACTCAGTTCACGATCATGTGTTACCTCCTGAAAGGACTGAATGCTGACTCAGTCTGTTGGGCACTCCGAATCATTGGTGGGTTTGAACCGATGCTCTTAAGGTTAGCAGCCCAACCTGTAACCAAGAGTTCTCCATTTGGGCCTTAGAACCTTTCCGTACTTCACTCGTGCCTCTGTTTACTTATTTCCCTTTTCTTCAGTTCTCTCCCCGTGAGGACTGGCCAGCATGTCCGCCCCTTTCCTGTTCTAACTCGGGACTGATGAAGTCTCACTTCAGCTCGATTACTGGGCCACATCTTCCGTTTCCTTTAGCTTCTCTTCACTCCTGAGCACATTTCAGAAGTTCTTCGCACATCTGTCTCGGTCTTTTCATTCTTCCCTGTCTTTTCAATGACCTTCTGCTTTTCTCAGGCATGCTGTCCTTGATGTCATTGGACTCGTCCTTTGGTCTTCTGTCATTAGTGTTCAGTGAATCAAATCTGTTTTTGGAGATGTTATCTAAATTCAGGGGGGATACACAAGGTAGTATTTGTCTCTTGTGGGCTTGTTTTAATGAATTTCTGCTTCAACTTGAGTTTGCAAATAAGCCTTATTCTGATAATATTGAGGTTCTCTACAGTCTCATCCAACAGATGTAATCAATTTGACCCTGGTGTATCCAGTGTAGGTGAGCTCCAAGTGAAGTCACTGTGTTGTTGATAAGAGCTGTTTACAGTGAAGAAGCCCTTGGTCTTGCAAAAACTGAATCAGAGTATCTCCCAAGTTACTATCATTTAAGCCATTATCTGTCAGCTCGTTATGCCTGTCTTTGTTTCCAGCTTTTGCATTCCAATAGCCAGCAATTATTAATGCAGTTTTATAGTTCATGTAAAAATTCACTGATGCCAGGACGTTTTTATACCATTTTATAATTTCCAGGTCATCTAGCAGTATGCTTGATAAATAACAAGTGTTAACGTTAAAATATAGTGAATGAATGGAAATGGTGTGACAGCGAAAATTGCTAAGAAATATTAATGATTTTCTAGAGATTAGTATTTTAAATATTCTAAATCTAAGTATCTTGAGAGTATTCTCATAAATTTTGGCTACTTAAGTGTTAAGTCAGTCAAAGAGGTTTATTCTCTGGATCTGTGACACTGTAATATTCCTAAGATAGTGCTTGATAGAAAATGTCCTGTTCTTTCTTGTTAGATAGCTCACCAATCTTACCTGCTTGTTAAGCTATGACAGTTTTATTTGAATGCAATTTTTATACTTAATCACACACTTCCTCTGAGAAAACATATTTTTTTCCAAGCAAGTTTGAGAACCCTTTGATTTGTTTTTCATTATTTTATGAACAGATTGTATTAAAATAAACATTTAGGACTGTCTGGGGAAATTTCCAGTGTAAGGGCAGGGGAGGAGGGATTTTGTATTACAAACTGCTATCTTCTCAGAAGCAAGTATAAAGTAGCTGTTGATAAACTTGATTCATACAGGAAAAGTGCCACATATTTTAAAATACATTTAGGTGAATTTTAGAAAGATCAAGTATGCTCACTGCTAAAGTTTATTTTAAATTGGAGACTTCAATTTTAGCAAATTAAGGAAATCGTCAGTATGTATTACAAATAAGGGTTGAGAAGCCAGACCAAATAAAAACAAAATATTGTAGTTTTAAAAACCCCCAGCAATGTTGAATTTTTTTAGGAAAGACAAGGTGCCTAGTTTCTCCTGGAGCCATAAGCTTAAGCATACTTTGGGAAATAGAAGTACATATTTCATATTGGCTTCATTTTATTTAAAATGGATATGTTTGTTAAGTTGCATGTTAAAAATAGAGGGATGGGGGGTGGGTGATAGAGAGGGAAGGGGGATTTGGGGAGTTAATAATGAGGGTGGGAGTGGGAGGGAGCACCAGAATGGATTGTGATTGCACAACTCACTGTAAAGGTGATTTAACCATGGCGGGGGATGTGTGTTTAAAATTGACGTGGTGTTGATTGTACAATTCTCCTTGATATGTTTGAACGATTGAACCATTGGGTAAATTATGTGTCAATAGACTGTTGGGGGAGAAAAGTAGGGCTTGTTGTGCAGAGTAAAGAGCCAATACACATGAAAAATAATAGAAAACTAATTTTGGTGTATTCAAAGATTTCTTCCAGTTACAACGTTTTGCTGATGGTGTGTGATGAATAATTTTGTTTCCTGTTTTTCAGAATGTCTCAGGTACTGAGACTGAAGCCACACTTGCTGGTTTGGAACCAGTGAGTACATATTCTGTCAGCATGTCTGCCTTTACCAAAGTTGGAAACGGCAATCAATTTAGTAATATAGTAAAGTTCACAACTCAAGAATCAGGTTAGACACAGCGTTTTTGAGCCAACAGTGTTTTATTTTATATTTAATGCTTCTCTCTTCTCTTTCCAGTTTATGCAACAAATATAGCTATTTAAAAATACTCTCAAAGATAAGTTCAATTTTTCAGTGCTCTAAGACTAGGCTGCATCCCATTTCTGAAATATATATATTCCCACACACACATATTCACACACATGTATTTATACATGGGATTTTATTTTGAATGATAGAAATTGTAATCAAGTACTAGTTTTGGAACAGAGTAGGCATGTATATGTTTTTGAAAATTAATTCTTAGTACCATTATAGGCAGTTGGGGAAAAAAAGTATGGGAAATGAGGCAGTCATTTTTAACATGCTGAATTTTATTTTTATGAGACAATATTTATATGTTTCTTTAGGAAGCATAATTGTGGCATGTGGTGGGAGCTCTGAAGTGCCATTAGCCTAATTATTCAGCCTTTTTAATGCATTGCTCATCATGTCATGCACATGTACATGTGCCATCTTGCTTTTATGTGTGTTTTGAATAATTTTTACTTATGAACGAGTTAGGGGTAGCTCAGACACATATGCTTCCTTGTTCACTGGGGATATGTGTCTTTAAGGCACTCCTGTCTTCTCACTGACTTTCAGTCAACAATTTTAAAATAAGATCTTTCCTATTTACTTCTTCCCAGTACCTTGTAAGTTTTTCTTGTTTGAACGAACCACTAAATTCAGGTCGGTGATTACTAACTGCTAAATTACTCATTTTAATATTAATTTATAGATCTTTGAGACTTTTGCCCTCTAATGATGCCTACCTATAAGGGCAGGCTATGTATATAATACTTATATGAGATCATAAAGGAGGGTCTGAAGTCAGAGAATCTTGATTTGATTCCAAGCTGCGTTATGTACTAGTTGTAAAACCTTGACAAAGTCACTGGACACCTCCACGCTTCTAGATGCCTTTACTAAGGTTCTGAAAATAACTTAATCAACCTACACAAAGCACTTATTAGAGTGTCACAGGTACACAAAATGTGCAATATATGTGACAATCTCAATGATTCCCATTTTGTAAATGTGGTAGTTATAGTTCAGGTAGATTAGGAAGAAAATACTAAACTAAATCAGAACATTAGCTACCAGACCTCTACACAAATGTAGACATACCTCTAGAAGCTGTACATCATATATGAGTGATACTACAGACATTCAACCTATAAAGAAAACTCATTTTAATAATTATTACATATAATAATTCTATTATATACTACACATAACTTCTTGAGCACAGCTTGAAAGTTTTGTGTATTATATTTTTATTTTGTCTCTACACTTAAACATGATTCTATCCAGCAATCAGATAATTCAACCATTTATCTACTACATGGGAATACATTTTAACTTTTGGCACCTGTTTATCTCTTAAGTTCCAGGTATTGTGCAGAATGTCCACTGTATGGCAACTAGCTGGCAATCAGTTTTACTTCAGTGGAATCCTCCCCAAAAGACCAATGGAATCATTACACATTATATCCTAACATTGGAAAGGAACTCTACAGAAGTGTCTCCCCAGGATCACATGTATACTTTCATGAAACTGCGGGCCAATACTTCCTATGTCTTTAAAGTAAGAGCTTCAACCGCAGTAGGTGAAGGAGATGAAAGCACGTGTGATGTCAGAACACTACATGAAACAGGTAACTATTTCTGGACCACTCCATATACTTTTCAGTACAATTTGCTATCTTAATACCACTAATCCCTGACTGACTGCCACCAAGCAAATCCAAACTCTGTTTTACATAGTTGCTTTATGTTTGGATTTAGCAACTACAGGACAGAGTAGAACTTCCCCATGGGGTTTCTAGTACTGTAAATCCCACAAAAGCCAACTACCATATCTTTCTCCCACAGAGCTTCTGGAAGATTTGAACCTCGAATTTTTGGTTAATAGCCAAGTGCCCTGTGTTAGTCTGAGTAAATTAAAGGAACAAATCCACAAAACTCATATGTATATAAGAGAGAGTTTCATATAAAGGATAAGTGTACATTAAGAAAGCATCCCAACCCAGTACTGCCCAAGCCCATAAGTCCAAATCAGCCTATATGTCCGACACCAATTTACAAAGTCCTCCTCAATCTCACAAAACACACGTAATGATGCCGACTGCAGGAGAAAAGCCAAATCAGTGAGCATGT